CACAATTAACACATTTGGTACAAGCAGTCAGGAAATAATGAGACACATTGCAATGGGAAAATCTGCAGTTAGGGACCCTTTCAAATTATTGAGGAGCAGTGATGTCAGTTTCAGGACAAAGGTGCATCTGATTCAGGCCATATTTTTTCCAGTTATGAGCTAGCTATGCATCTGAGACCTGGACAATGAGTAAGGCTGATAGAAAAAGAATTGATGCCTTTGGGCTGTGGTGTTGTCTGTGGTGTTGGAGAAGAGCACTGAACATGGCATGGATGGCCAAGAAAATGAATAGATCTGTCTTGAAGAGGATGCAGCTGGAGTGCTTTTTGAAGGCAAGAATGATGAGGCTTCACCTCACATACTTTATACATATTGCTAGGAGAGGATATTCCTTGGAGAGAGACGTGATGTTGAGAAGGGTAGAGGATTGACAGAGAGGAAGACCCTTAATCAGGTGTATTGACAAGGTGACTGCTGCAATGGACTCTGTGTAAAGAAGTGTGAGGATGGTGCAGGACAGGACTTGTTTCAGATCTTTTGCTCATAGAGTTGCTAAGATATGTACTCGTCTCAATGGCACCTAACAACAACAACAGCAGCTTTGTATTATTACATAGATTATAATGCCTTTAATTCACCTGTGAAATTTCCAAATATGGGGTATAATAGATTAAATAAACTGAACAACTAATTCCTCCCATATTCAAAGCCAAAGATAGTTCAGAACCCAAAGCCTCAATTATGGAATGATTTCATTCCCTGCAGTGTCTTTCTAGAAAGATATGTTCTGTGATCTGTTCATTACTTTTGTGTTCTGGATAATTGGAAAGTAGTTTTCTCTAAAATCTACCCACCCAATTCACAGAAGGAAAACATAAAAGGCCAGTAGATATAAGGAAATGTCGTTCTGTGGCTTAGTGGTAAGGCGTTGCACTGCCAACCCGAAGGCATGAGGTTCAAATCTACCAGCTGCTCTGTAAAGAAAGATGGACAATCTCTTCCCATGTGACTTACTGTCTTTAAAAACCAGCTGGAGGTTTAAGTCTGAGTCAGGTTGGACAGAACAGATACATGGAAAATTGTTAAAATATCATAATCTTTGGAAGAATGCCAATTAAACAACAGTCATCTATTACCAAATACGCATAATGTGTTGAAGATGGCATATCACCTAACTGCATAGTGATTGTGAATGGAAATAGCAATTATTCTGCGCAGAGGGGCAGTCGCCTGTTAAGTACACAAACATATATCACCCAGCACACTTCATTGCTGCTGCTTACCTGCATACCTGAAAACCACCAGAGCTCCTTAGGTTCTTATGTTCCACTAAACAAGACATGTAAAACAATAGTCCTCACAAAGTAGGTTGTAGTAGCAGGGACTTGGAGGTAAAGTAATAGCTACAGATTAGTGTTCTTCATCAATGGACTCGATACATGATTTCTAGCCTTAGGTTGGGTCACTCAGTTGCTACTGGAGAAAAAAAAGTCACATTTACGTAGTTTATTTGAGAAACAACTAGGTAAGAGTGAAAAAAAGTAAGTCAAGATTGGACAAGAGGACACTAAAAACCAACAAGAGTTACATTATTGACAGGTTCTCCCACCTGTCTTGGTTTTTTGCACTGTGGTGGTTTGCATGGTTTTATTGATAGACATTATGCAGCCAGCATTTTAAATACCTGAACTTGCTAAGATAAACAGTTTTCAGCAGAGCTTCCTGATGAGACAGACTGGGAGTAAAGGGTAATTAAGAAAGTGCTGAAAATTAATCAGTGAAAATTCTATGTGTACTAACAGAATAGTCTCCAAAAGAGGGCAGAAAGTAGAACTTTTCCTGCCTGTTCCCACATTGGAAGGCATTTAAAATTACCTTTAGAAAAGTTACCTACTCAAAATAGAGTTGACTGCAAGGATGCCAGTAGATAATAAACCTTCTAGACCACCATTTGTCAATGTGGAATATTAAAAATGAGAATTGGCAGGAACAAACATCATTTTCTATTGCTATGGAGTGTCGGAACCAACTCACACCTGACCCTCTAGGTTGTTTTCAGAGGCAGTAAACTACGCAGGAGGAGACTGACCATACTTCTCCCTCGAAGCAGCTGGTGGGTTAAAACTATGTCACAGCAAACTGTGTGCCTTTGGGTAAGTATGACTCCTTGCCACTAATCGACCAGAGCTCTCAAGGAAAATTGGAAGAGATCAAAATTGAAATGGGATTCCTCAAGATCAGCAATATCCTAGGCATTGTTGTTGTTGTTGTTGTTGTTGTTGATTGTCATGACTCATAGTGACCCTATGAACAAAACACCTGAGGCCTTTCTATAACTACCATTCATTGTTTCCCAAGTTTATAGTTTCCAGCAGTATATGGTCTAGGAAATGGATGACACTCCTACTTCTAAACCTGTCTTAAACTGGGAACTTTACCAAACACTGTCCACCATGGGCAACACTTATGGCTGCATTCTCTTCCCCTCCTCCTGCGGGGTTTTAAGCCATTGTCTTTGAGCAGCCTTAAACCCTAGGCAAAGCCTCAAGGATCCCGCTCTTAGGGGGAAAGAGCAGTACACATCAAACACAACCCCGAAAAAGTATATGATCCCAAAAACTTCCTTTTACTTGCCCGTCCGGATCACCATGCACAAGCAATGAGAAGCCACAGGCTCCCAGAGTGGAGTCCAGTGACCCTATAGTGAACAGAAAATGATTGTCACTGAACATAATGAATCTGGGATCATATAATTTATTCCAGAAACACAAATTTAAAGGGAGTGATGTTCCCTTCATCATTTCAAATAATATGTTTATATTTATCCTAAAGTTAAAATGTGACAAGTTTTAAGTTACTATCCAAACAACCTTAAAGACCAACTGTAATGACTGTTATTCAAATTTCATAAACATGAACACCAAAGATTATGAAATTGAGGTTTCTACAACTTTTTTTTTTTAATTTTTTTTTGGTTTCTACAACTTATAGTAATCTGAGATTGACTAAACATGCAAGCAATATGCATTGTTAATTGCTGGTGATTGGAATACAAATGTTGTAGAAAAAGAGGTAAGAGATCTTGGTGGTAGACACAATGAATATGGCATGACAAAACTCTGTAAGATCAATAGCTTAGTCATTGAAAATATTTTCTGCCAACAACATAGCTGATAACCAAATATGTGAGTCTTGCTAATGTATTACATAGGAAACAAATCAACTGTATCTATGAATAAAGAGACAATGGAGGATCTCAGTATCATTAATAAAGGATGTCAGAAGTCTGAAGTACAACATACTTTAAATACTCGTGAGCAAGTTTCAAATTAATGTGAAGAAAATGAAAGCAAGTTCACAAGATCCAAACTGCAACCTTCAACATCTTCCACTTAAATTCACAAAGCACCTCAAAAATAGACTTGAATGATTGAGTACTTTGTACCTTATGGACAGACGACTTGAAGGAAAACATCCAGGAAAAATACATGAAAAAAGTTATCACTCATTAAAAGATAGAAAAGAAGAGCAGGTCCAAAGAAGAAATCTTGAAACTTGATCTTGGCAGAGCAGTTAAAGCAAACAGAAATTAGGAAGTAAAAGAGATGTACAGATTTTAACAGGCCATTCAAAAAGGAAGGTATTGAGGCTGACGGTGGGTCAGCTCCTTCACTCAGAAGCGCTGTCTGTGTGCTGAACAGTTATTTGACGGGGAAAACCTGGAGATTGTGGCCACAGTGGCAATTGTCCGGTCCTGGGCACGTGGAAACCAGAAGGGCTCTCATCATTGAGGTTTGAAGAAGTTTCCCAAGACAGCCAAGCCCTGCCTGTAGATGAAATGAGTTCCCACTGATGCTCTGGCAGAATCTGAAGGCCCCACTCTAGGATGGTTGTCTGTCAGCCTTTTTCTGTCTGAGAAGACCATTATTGGAGGATGAGTTTGGCTTCCCAGAATAGAGGCGCTATGGAGACCATGACGAAATTGAATCAAGACTACAAGGCAAAAGGTTTGTCTTCTCAGCATACTGACTGGCTTCAAGAGAAAACGAAGCCCAGATTACCGCAGGAGCAATGCCACAGATTTATTCCTGTTTCTCCTGCCTTCTGGCTTTCTCTTGTCACCAGTTCCTCAGTCAGTATGTGCTGCAGACCTTCCCAAGCTTATATGCAGAACATCACTGCCACCCTGGGGGATCCAGCCCAGGGCGCCAGAAGCCGTATGAGCAGCAGGATTCTAGTGAGAGCTTTTGGAGTGAAAGTCCAGAAATCAGCACAATGCTAGACTTAGAGCTGGACTCAGCCCAGAGATTTGGAGCAGTCACCTACAGCGTGGGTGACCGAGACTATGGATTGAAGCCGGACTTCACCACAGACCAGAGATTCCTCTTCCAGGAGAAGCCTAGCATTTGTAGTGAGTGTGGACAAGTGTTTAAATACAAATCAACTCTGATCAGACACCAGAGGATACACTCTGGGGAGAAACCATATGTGTGCAAGGACTGTGGGCGAGACTTTACTCAGAAGTCGCAGCTTCGCACACACCAGTGGACACACTCAGGAGAAAAGCCTTACATGTTTCTTAAGTGTGGGTAAGGCTTTACGCATAAGCCACATTTCATCAGACATCAGAGGATACTGCGGTGAAAAACCTTACTTGTGCAGGCAAGGCTACACCAGAAAGTCAATCCTCCTGCAGCAGCAGACACATTCAGGAGAGACGCTACTTGTGTGCAAGACTTGTGGGCGTGACTTTACCCAGAGGTCGAATCTCAGCACACACCAAAGCATATGCTCAGGTGAGAAACCTTTCCAGTGTCTGGAATGTGGGCGTGGCTTTACCCAGAGGTCAAATCTCATCACACATCAGAGGACGCACTTAAGTGATAAACCTTACGATTGCCCAAAATGTGGATATGGTTTTACTTAAAGTTCAGCTCTCTTCTGGTCACACTCTGGGGAGAAACCTTTCGTGTGCCCAGAATGTGGGCGTGTCTTTACCGAGAAGTCAGATCTCGTAACACACCAGAGGACACACACCCAGGAGAAGTCTTACGTGTGCGTGGGATGTGGTCTCGGCTTTACCCGAAGTCAAATCTCATCAAACACCAGAAGACCCACTCAGTGGAGAAGAGGATTTAAGGATAAGAACCCTCTTTGGACATCAGCAGCCTTGTTCCTTAGAAGCCTTGCTTTTGCCTTGAAGGCCTACACAGTGACACATTGTGGTGTTGTGGTTGGGAAACCGTTAATGAGATACGTCCAGAGGGATCTCTGGTGTTGAGGTTTGTGGGACGAGGCCTTTTTTCTAGGTTCACTTCCACAAGGCTTCAACCAATGGTGACGCACACTGGAGACCGGTTCCCACTAAAGACCAGAGGTAGAAAACGTAGCCAGGCACTGGAAACCACTCTGGT